CAGCGTCTTTTATATTGGTGAGTTATTTTGATGGAATGGCCGATGTCCGATATTTAACTTTATCGTTAATATCGTCCGATACCGATACCATGCCGATAATATCGTGCATCCCTAATTTTAACTGTATGTGTTATGAGCTATTGTGCCAAGTTAGAAATGTGTCTTTTTCCAATAATTCACAGTACACTGTATCTAGTGAATCTCAGATGTCCTAGCTTTTCACCAGCCTTGAACGCAGCATTACTTTTGTGATGCTGGAGCCATAAGAACATCTCAAAAGTCACATTTACAGGCAAGCTGATCCATGCACATGTGTTGACCTATTTGTCCGCAGCATTTGACAATTGGTATGTGCAAAATATTCCAACTTGGGCAAATTGAAAGGTGTGCATTTGAAAAACCGTGGATGTTGTACACATTAGTAAAACTTGCTTGTGTGACTACTTTTGAGACGGATCCATCTTCATAGAGAGCATCCAGGAGAGCAGACCCACCTGTCCTGGTCCCACTGCTCTGCCTGGTGAGAGACAGAGGAAGGTTCAGGGGGGTTGAGAAAGGCATGTGAGGATATGTGTGTCCAACACAAAGAGGTCAGGAATGGAATGAGATGCAGCTCATATCCCCCCCCCCATTTCAGTGCAAGTCTCTTTAACCAAGAATCAGGTCTTAGTACTGCAAAACGGTGAAACAACAACTAAAATAAAACAGTGTAAAGAAGGAGAAACCAGTAGATGCAACTAAAACTTTCCAAACAAAAGTAAATATAATAAAACAAGGGAACATCAGGATGAACATAATATTAAGGCGCTTGTAAAAGCATAAAGAGTTTGTCTAGATTTCTCTAAATTGCCCCGCTGTATAGTCTAACGTTGAATTTATTTGCATATTACCGAGCCGTAGAAAAGAAAACTTATTCTTAAAAGGTTCATAACTGTTGTAACTTCAGACCAACACATGTCTGCCAACACCTGGATAAAAACGAGTACGACTTTCTCAGCACCGAACACACAGTGAGTTACCTGGAGCTGATATGGTCAGAATATAAGTTTTAATGCAACAAACTTCCCTTTATTGGGCTGTAATTCAACACAATAAATCAGATTCAGTATAAGTTAGGTTTTATAACAATTTATTAAAAGTATGAATTCTGTTAGAAATTATAGAACAATATTTTCACCCTTCAGTTTTTAATCAAACCATGAAAATATCATTAAAGCAAGAAGTATGTGTTGTGAACAACTCTCAGCTGCTATCACATCAAATTTATCCCAATATTTGCAAAATTGACTTCATTATAGATATTTTTATCCTAAGCACTGTGGATTATCTGTGGTAGCCATATTAAGTTGAATTGACGCCAAACGTTAAACAGTTTTAGAAGTACATCCAATAAATACTTTCTGCTTATTTTATTCAAATGGGTCCAGTAGTTTATGAGAAATTTTGCTAACAGACAAACAAGGTTGATGCCAGCAGGTGAAGCTGAAGTTCAAAGATTTCAAACAACCATTAGAGCTCAGAGGGTTTGATGTTAATGAGGCTCAGCTGCTACCACACCATGTTTTAGCACAATATTTGTAAAATTGGCAGAATTTAAGGCAGTTTTGGGATTTTTAAGGCGAGTTGGTGACGACCATCTTGAATTGGTTTGCTCCAAAAGTTAATCAGTAGTAAGTATATGTGCAGGGATTCTTTCTTGAAAGTTTCATTAAAATCTGTTAAGTGGTTCACAAGATATTTTACTAACAATCACATTGCATCACCATCACACCGTAATTTAGGTTTATATCTTTAAATCTGATTGAGGTTTGTCCAGTTTTGTGTTTTTTAAAGTCAGTGGACTGCGACAGCCATCTTGAGCTCCATTAACTCCAAACGTTGAACGATTGTAGCTGTTCATCCAACGATGATGTTCTGCAAGTTTCATTAAAATCCATCCAGTAGCTCAGGCAATATTTTGCCAACAGCCACATGCACAGATATCATCACCTGCCATTTGGCTTTGGGCTGCGGGTGATAAGTACGAGCTTGGAGGAGTAACAAGGTATGCTTCTGGTTCTGCAGAACTGACTCATTTACCTTTTGATGTAGCAGAGTGTCACCTGACAGTGTCACTTCATTCTCCTTTGTTCCACGTGGAACATGTGCCTGTTCAACATGGAACATTTTTCTAATGTCGCGTTAGATAACACAAATAAATGTGGAACTGAGTTTGCACAGACCAGCTCAAAAGGGAAGAAACTTTTTTTTTTATTATTAACAAAGAACCTTTTTTGTTTGTTTTTGCTTCACTGCTGCTGAAAC